CCTGAACAAGCCATTCCAATTCCGTGCATCATCCATCACAAAGCTTCCCTTCTGCATGGCAGGCGAGGCGGGTGCCTCAAGTGTGGGTTTCGCCGCTTCTCGGCTTTGTGGATTCAGCAAGTATGGACTGCCCCAATGTGCCATTGTGAAGCAGTGGACTATTGGCCTGTTAGAGGTGTCTGTGTTGTGAGCATGAAGACATCGTGCATGAATCAGCTTTGTTGCCCCTCCCTATTGATGTTCTATATGGATGCATGAATGTTTCCTTTTGTTGAAAAGGTCAAATGTGGTGTGCATTGTGGGTTAGATATGTTGCGTGTTGGTTGTGAGCTGTTCTGGGTAGTTTAGCAAAGGTTATTGATACAATGGGTGGACGCGGGGACGCGCGGCGTAGGTGAGTAGTCGTTTGTGGTTGTCGGGTGGGTCGTGTGAACGTTTGGGATTCACAGACCTAATGGCAGTTAGACGGCAACGATAGATGCGTGTTGTCTGTTTGTCCTGATGGGCGTGTCCCTAATTCAGTGTGTCTTGAACAGTTAGTGCGTTCCACTGGCGTAGTGCTGAATCACATGCTATGAAATTGAGGGGTCGCGTTGAATGGTGTTGGGTACACGACGTCCAGAAGTGGAATTGGTTCTATATATGCATGTCCGTGGTCGAACGGGTGAACTCTCTTTGACGTGAGCATCAATGCAACACTAGCTCATGTATACTGTTAGGATCTGACATTTTTCTAGTTTTTGTGGCTTATGAGTATCTGACAGTTGTCGTGAGGGTGGACGGTTCAATACTGGATTGTAGCGTGTGTTGACCATTTATGGGCTCAGGTTAGGTGATTTGAGGTATGCATTACGTTGTGGGTAAAGCAGGTACAGAACGATGGTAGATGTATAGTTGCTCACCACCTCCTTTTATTTGTTATCGGGGCGAGGCGGATCTGAAGCCAAGTAAACGATGCAAATCATTGTTTGAGTCTGTTAACGAACGAGCATTTCAGGAGCGATTTAATCGTATTGTAAACCCATGGTGGAGATATGGTGCTATGTGAATGCGAAAAGGAGAAACGTGGTTACCGGCCCTCTGGGTTTTGACACCTATTCTACACTGGACTGTCGGAAGGAGTGTCCCAACGTTCTCACTAAAGGATAACGCTTCGGATGGTCTCATTCCCCCTCGTTCATATCGTTCTGCCGGTTCCGCATTCAGGCAGTACAGGCGCCCCACAGCATCACTTCGCCAAAAACGCTGCAATCATTGCCCCACTCGCTAGGCATACCAGGATACGTGTTTGAGAATATTCGTTGCATGGGCTTCGCATATACTGCATTTTTTACTTTGCTGGAGGTTGTGGAGGGCAGATCGTGTGTTGCGTTGAACGCCTATCCCAGAAAAAGCAGGCACCCCCAAACGGTCTGCATTGCTGTCGACGTTAAGGGGGTCGCACGCACCTGTAGGCAGTTAAGCGGAGCGCCACACACTGGATTTAGGTACGCTCCCTTTCATGGGGTGCTGGCAGTTGCGCTGGCGCACCTACGTTCAATATGCCGCTGTTGAACTATCCGTTAGCGCGTCTGCGACAGAGAAGAGCATCAACGCATCACCAGTGGGACCAGGACATCTGCGTTCTTCCGTCTGGTCCACGCAGCTTGTACGGAATGCCCATATGCTCCACTTCACACGCAGAACCTACACCGCCAGCCTGTAGATGAGTGGGTTCTGAGCTTAGGGTGATACAGACATTTTTCCAACCGCAAACAGTAGCAGCCAATGTAGGACATCTGCGTTCTTCCGTGTGGTCCACGCAGCTTGTACGGAATGCCCATATGCTCCCCTTCGCACACGCAGAACCTACACCACCACCCTGTCGATGAGTGTAGGACATCTGCGTTCTTCCGTCTGGTCCACGCAGCTTGTACGGAATGCCCATATGCTCCACTTCACACGCAGAACCTACACCGCCAGCCTGTAGATGAGTGGGTTCTGAGCTTAGGGTGATACAGACATTTTTCCAACCGCAAACAGTAGCAGCCAATGTGCGATGTTGCCTCTAGTGCCACCCCACTCAAGATGTTACAGGTTAGCTTCGCCGCAACATTGGCTCTGCTTTTCGGCCACATATGGCGCATCGACCGGAGATAATGCCCCGGTTTGTCCTAACGTGGTTTGTGAACACCACAATCAAATGCGGCGCAGCCGAAGACTCGGTCAGCCGGTGCATGTGAGAGTATGACCGGCTCAGCTGTGGTTTTCGGCGTTGTCCATGCAGCCAGTAGGCAATGCCAACATGGCAGTTTATGGGGGAATGCGGCGTTGCCGTTGGGCAGGCCTTATTCACTGTGACGGGCACCAGGGTGGATCTGAGTGGGGCGGTCCATCCCCCGTTCACGTTCGCTAGTCATGTGCAGACAACCTGAAGCATGCTGTTTGTTAATAGGTATGTTACGCGCAGATTTTGCGCCATTGCGCCATGCGTATTGACCTCCAGATACATGTTGTTAGCGATGGAGAGGAGTTGGAAGTTTCCGCAGAACGTGAACGAGCAACACAATCAAATGCGGCGCACCCGAAGACTCGGTCAGCCAGTGCATGTGAGAGTATGACCGGCTCAGCTGTGGTTTTCGGCGTTGTCCATGCAGCCAGTT